GCTCTACGCGGGCAACAACCGCATCCGCTCGATCGAGGGCGACGTCATCCGCCGGCTGCGCAACCTCAAGGAGCTCTCGCTCCCGTCCAACAAGCTCACCCGCCTGCCCCGCGAGCTGCTCGACCTCGTCGACTCGCTCAAGGTGCTCGACGTCGAGGACAACCGCTTCTCCGAGCGCGACCTCACCACCACCGAGATCCTCACCTCCTTCACCAAGGCCAGGAGTGCGTTGCGCTACTCTCTACTCGCTTGCTCGCTGCTCGCTTGCTTGGCCTGACCGTTGCGCGCGCCCTTGAATGGACAGGTCAGCCCAGCACACCGCAGGAGGAGCGACGGAAGGCCGGACGCCCGGCCTCGGCCTATGCGCCTCGCGATCCCGTACCCCCTCCCCCAACGCACTCCCACAACCATTTATTTATTTCTTCGTGGCGCTTCGGGTTCAGGGTTTCTTCGTGGAGGGCTACTCCAACCACCTGTACCGCCTCAAGGGCAAGGACAGGATCGTCATGCAGGCGGTACGCTCTGTCGTTTCTCCGTCTCTGCGACACATGAAAAGAGATGCACATCATCAGGTTTTTTCCCCCTCACGCGTGAGGGCTGGTTGACGATACTGCGCAGGTGGAGGTCAATATTTCCTCTCTGAATGAGGGCGACAGCTTCCTGCTCGACATTGGCCGCAAGCTGTTCGTGTGGATTGGCAGCCAGTCCAACCCCCGGTATGTCCGGCTCTTGCAGTCGTCAGTCCGCGCTGCGCTCTACATGCGCGCGTGTGTGCAGGTTGGCATTCCTGACATGACCGTGCCACACATTCCAGAGAGCGGGCCAAGGCCAAGTACATCGCGAACCTGCTGTCCGCCGAGGAGCTCGCCGGCATTCCCGTCATCGTCATCAACGGTACTCATACCCCTTAGGTGGCCATCTCGTGAAGGCTGACGTCAGCTGATGTCCGCGCAAACTCGTACCAGAGGAGGACGACCCCGAGTTCTGGGAAACGATCGGCGGCCGTCGCGTGCCCATCAAGGGCGCCGACAAGGGCGGCGACGACGCCGAGACG